GCATTCTCAGCAAGGACATCATTTTTTCTATCGCAATCCTTTAAAATATTTATAGCTGTCGATTTACCATTATGTCAGAGTATTTCCTTGCCCTTTCGCCTCTCTCAATACACTTTCCTACAGAATGGTAAGTATCTGACATTTGAGGCTCCTTCGATAATAAAAGAGAATTTATGGCTAGCAGCTGACTAGGGAATGTATGTCATAAACAAAGCAGCAGTTTTTTCTGTCTGACTTACAGAATTTTTGGAGCTATGTGACAGCATCTAAGACACAACGGTCCAGACATGAAGACAGAAATTAATCACTATTTTGCTGCAAAAGACAATGGGCAACCTTTTCCCCCCCTACCCCAAGACCCTATTCACAGAGGATCATGATTGGAGATAGCCCTCGTGCTGGCTCTCTATACAGAAATAAATTTTACTCTGGCTGAACAACCTTGAAGGAAATATCTTTACTTGGAAGATTAATGAACACCTTCTGCTGAATTACTTGTTGGCCCAAACCCCCCATTTCCCCGGTGTACGAGCAGGATATATTAGAAGGCAGTAGCAGACCTAGGAACAGCTGCGGTAGTTAGTGAAGGCTTTCCTCCATCCAACAGCCAAAAAGACACTCTTATCTGACTCCTTTAAAAGCTTCAGATTCACTAGAGGTGCATCAGAGGAGTGAGGGCTTAGGTTTGGTGAGACTGATGAAATGAAAAAGTGTGAGAAAGAGTATTCGTAATCCAGCACATGGCGCATTTGGTTTTATGTGAAATCCTGGTTCGGGTCTCATCAAAACTGTACGTTTGTATGTAGCATGTATTTGTTTTACAAACTGGGATTTTTTATGATGCAAATTATTTCATCAGAAAAGTTCCTGACAAGATCAGTTTGGCATCCTTGCCTGTCTTTACTACCCTATGATTTGCATTTAAAAATAAGGTGCTCTGTAAGCAATGGTATATGTGAAGCCTTTGCGGGTTTTGGGTGAGTTCACACCTTGTAGTTGGATTATTCTGACCTCTGAGGACTGAGCTCTGATCAAAGTGAACGATGGCCCTCCCCTGCATGGATTCTCTAGTGTACAGTAATATAGTTCGACATTTTTCCTCTCCCTCAGTGTGGAACTAATCTGGTCTTTTTCTTTTCTATCCATCTGCTCATTTTCACTTATTCAATACCTCTGAAGTTTTCTGTTCTGTATCATATGTGATTAACATTAACTAACAGATCCAAAATATACTATGCAGGACATAAAAAGAAAGTGATGACATCATCTCTAAGAAACTCGTCTAAAAAATAGAGCAAAATCAAACCAATGCAGCACAGGCTAAATGAATGAAAACCTGGCACCATGATAGATCTCAGCTAGTGATTTGGAGATAAGAATTATCATTCCTTGTGTTTATTTCCTAGTCATCAAGGAGGTTTTGGTCAAAACAAAAATAACCATCCTTTTCAACGATGCAGAAGCAAAAATAAAATTCTTGCCAGTGAACTTTGCAGATGACACAAAACCCATGCAATGATAATTGATGAGGAGGATGGGTTTAGCTCTGCAGAAAAGCGTGAATCACATGCTAGACTGTGCCCACATTATGGATCAGAATGTATGACACATTTACCAGTGGTGTTTGTATTTTAGGAAACAGTGACTTGGAGGCAGATTTGAGCTGAACATGAGCTCAAAATGTGATAGAGTAGCTAAGAAAACAGTGAGAATCTTATATCTAAAAGGAGGGAACTACTGAGCAGACGATATGGTGTTACCACATGATGGTTTATTAGTGAAAGTTTGTATTCAGTTCATCCATCTGCACATTAGCAACAACGCTAAAATGATAGGAAAGGTCCAGAAAATAATGATGAAGAGCATTAGCAACCTGGAAAATCTTCCTAATTCTGCGAGTAAAGAAGTTCAATCTATTTATGCTTTGGCAGCATAAATATATTGCAAGACATTAAGCTAGTGCAATACTTTGCAGAACGTTATCTTTGCTGTGCTGGCTGCCCACAAGTATGTTCTTTACCTTTTGGACAACACAAGGTTGTTTTGCTTTCAAGGAAAAGAGGGCTAGCTGTTTTACATTCACTATGGTTAAAAGTGAACACAAGAACCACTGCTGTGGAGTAGCTAATGTACTATCTTCTTGTTGGCTGACAGTAACTTACCCTACAGTGCCGCATCCTCAGTGAATTCAAAAATAGGTTAAGAGATGACATGGTCAGGACACAAAAGTACAAACATGGGAAGCTGTCATATTGTTGTGGTCCTTTTAAACTAACACAATCCAGCAGCTGGAACCTGAAGCTGGAAACGTTGAGACTAGAAATGAAAACCTAGTTTTCTAGAGATGTTAGATCTATCAATTACATTCTTGAAGCTAAAATTACAAATGTTTCCAAATGATCACATAATTTTATCTGCAACAAAGGAAATCCCTTCGGAATATCTTGGATCCGATTTGTCCAAGCAGTCACATTACACACATAATTACATTTCCTTTTAAAAATCAATACATTTGTAAGATCAAAAAGTTATGAGGCTGCTTCTCCCTCCTTGACATGTGATCCATACAGCCACCATACCGCCAGGAGTATAAATGGTAAGAATGTCTGGACTGAAAATCGGTTTGTGGATTATAACCATGCTGACTTTAAATGATCCTTTATAAATTACAATTTCTTTATAAATGACCCCTTATCATTATGATTTAATGATAAAGAAAGAGAAAACACAGACAGTTTTAAATGAGATTAAAGTTAGGAAAGGTATGCTGAAGGCTGAGCTCTTACTCTTGCCTATCAGCATCACAGCATCATATGAATTGATTGCATTAACATTCAGCTGAAATGTAAGCTTGTAAACATCTTGCCATCACTGAAGACATGTCTATAGAAAGGTTGCCCAAGGTATGTGTTTGTAAGATATACACAATGCCTGCTTGTTTGGGTTTTTTTGGGAAGTATATATGAATATATATTTCTTCTGGTCAATAACCTGCTTCCCCTCTGCTTAACAGGACATTGCACTCATCATTTCCCATTCCTTAACAGCTTTTGGTCTTGTTGATTTAGACAGTAAAAAAGGAGCAGGTCATCCCTCTGTTTTCTTACAGCCTAAATCCTGTCCCAAATCCCTGCAACAGTTGCAGTGCTACAAAAGCCCACAGAAATGACACTTCTTGTCATTTGAATCCATAGAGGAGCTGAGCTTCAGTGGCTGCAGAGCGGTAAAATTTTTAATTTCACTGAGGAGTCTTAGGAAAGTATATCCTATCCTATTAGCCTCAGCCTTTCTTCTTTGAAGGTTAAAATTACATTTTCAGAAACAAGGTATCTTGCATGCAGGATCACTTTGGGTTTTGCACACACACACATTATACATGGATGCATATTAAAAGACCTGCAGAAAATTTGAGGCAAAACCTGACAGGAGTCAATGTTCTGTCAAAATCCCAATGCAGGAGCCTTAGACAGCAGCACTCTCAGCTTTCCCAGGGCAGGACCTGATGTACGAGGTTAATCGCAAGGATTCATTTTGTTGAGGGATCAGAAACCAAAAGCTGGCTCTATATAATACCTAAATCCCTTAATGCAACCAGCAGAGCCACAGTGCTTCTGTCCTCTAAAGCTGATACTTTCTATTATTTCAAGATACCTGTTCATTCATCTTTCTTTCCAGGCCAATTGCTAAAAGAAGGTTTTTGTGGTTGGAAGAAAGGCAAGCTCACAGTTCAGAAAGACAGGAGATGATAAACTGCTGACTGCTTTGTAGTCAATAGGACTTTTATCACTGTCTTCAGTTCTGGATTTCACCAAATACTTTTGTATACACAAAGTTACATTTCTGTAACTTTTTCTGTACATTTTTTTACAAGAGCTTTACATGCAAAAGAAAATTAAAAACACTTCTGAACTCTGTTTTCACATGCAGATGAAAGGTTTTCTCAGAAGACAACTAGCATGAAGAATTGCAGGCATATGTGTATTGTTCTCTAATAATTTCTATAACATAAATTCAAAGCTCCAATCTATTGACTCCTAAGGATGAGACACTTTCATGGACAACTTTAGACGGTGCCAAGTCAAAATCCTACCTGGAACTCATCAGAATTTATGATACTCAAAACCTGAATCTGAATTTTGTTTTTTGGTCTGATTTTTATCAAAAATCAGAAGAACACATGGCAATCCTACAGATGACTACATTTCTCCATCTCACTGTGAAGGCAGGTAAAATGGAATGGAATGACTTCCGATGAAGAGGACAATGTGAACATGATATTCTTGGACTAGCCCCTTTTCTCCGTATCACTTCAAATAGGTAGTGAAATCTGACTAATCACATTAACATTTAAGGACATAATTTTATAATAATGGCTGGGGGATATCTTTGTTCATACTATTCTGTAAAGAAATGACCTGAAGAGAAAATACACTTTGCATGGATCTCCCATTTATCAGACTAGCAAGCATACAGTAAGCAGAGTGTGTAGAATTTACAATACAGTTTGTGGAAATCTCATAACGCAGGCTGTAATTTGTGAAATGGTTAAAACAAAAAAAATGATCTGTTAAGAAGTCTGGAGACAGAATAAATATGGTCAGTTCCTTCTGCACCAGAAAAGCTACGAGAACGCCCATATGTTTTGAGACATTTGCTTTCTGTCAACCTGTTTGGCCAGTCTATGATATTACTGAAGCGATTATATAACAGGCATTAATGTGTTTATAGCAGACAGACACTATCTGGCTAAAACCTGGAAATATTTATGGAAAAAACCATGAGCTACTTATCTGACACACTGATATACCCTTATCTCTCAATGGTGTTATGTCTGAAGAATGAGAGGTGATCAGATCAGATGAAAGTTTCTGTGAAATGGACTCATGGTTACAAAATATTTTACTGAAAATGGCCTTGCTGCTTCAAGTATGGTCACAAATATTCTGTTACAAATTGAGCGTGAGCGTATGTAGAAAGATAAGGACACTATCTACATTTACCTACTCTGATCCCAGTTGGCTGCAAAAAGCAGAAGAATCTTCCTGCCACAGTGGTCACGATTTTCCAGTACTCCTGGAAACCCATCTGTCAGAGCCCGTTTGATTCCTGGATCATCAGCCTTGAAGTTTTTGAACATATCCAGATTTAATTGGCGGTACTGGAAGTACTGAGCCAGCAGTCTGAAGGCCTCAGTTTGGTGAAACTTTCTGGCTCGGAGAAATCTCAAGATGAAGGCATCATCTGTACGTAAAAACCCAATGTCAGGCCTTGTGATGATCATGTCCCTGACTTGCTGGATATCCTGATGCAAAATGTCTGGGTTTTCATTCAGTTCCAGGCGAGCTTTCTCTATAGTCTCTGGACTAAGTCCAGCTTGTAAGTGGGTCATCTCTGCTTTCCAAATCCTTAACTTCAGATATTTTAGTAGGAGAAGTGCTGATCCCATTCAATTGATGGTCTGCTGTGAGTGTGAGCCATTCAGAATCTTTTTGCTATCAAGCTGCTGTTTAACAAATGATAGCAAAGGGCTTTTCTTATTCTTGCAGAAAGAGTAACAGGCAGTTCACATATAGTATAATCCATCCAAATGAATGTTGTTTATTCCATCACTTGCTAAAAGAAAAAGCAAATATATAAAAGAAAGATTAAATATGTGTATAAAGCTTACAGAAATGCATTTCTGAAATTTATATAGCAATAAAAATGCTTTGTGTGCTTCATATGTAAGAGGATAGCAGTCAAATAATTTCAGAATGAGTGCATTTAAGGTAAGGTAGTCACTGACATCTTGAATGTATATATTCAAGCTTTCAGAAAGTCATCTGATTAATTGACAATTAATACTAAGCCGTATGAACTTACTATCAGAATACACTTTGCAAAGTTGTCTTATAAAAGTGTGGGAGTTCCAGCATCCCATAACTTCAAGCCCAGGATGACAAAAGCAAAAATAATAGTAATTTTTTTCCACCCCTAACAGAAGCTACATTTCAGCTTCCTAAGTATGCAGATTTACACTTATCATAAGTATAACAACTGTTTGATTTGGTTTTATCACCCGTACTATCAGCTTGTAGTTTTCCTTGAATTAGTCCCTGAGCTGATTGTAAAACTGATTAAAAAAAACCCAAAACTCCACCAACATCAGGGGTATTTTCTACTTGGTAAACCCTCACTGAAAATATTTCCCACTGAGACTTAATACATCTTCATAGGAAACTTCCCATGAATAAAGTGTTTGATGACTCTAATCCAACAGGGTTGGTGTTTTAGTTTAAGAGATGCATTTTATTCCAAATTCTTTTTTTTAGTATCTTGTAGCTTTCCTGTATACCTAGTTCTGAATTTCATTTTCATTCCTGTACTTTACCTACAATTTGTTTTTACAAGTGTTAGAAGAAAAGCTGCTTAAACTGTTATGTATGAGCAAAATGGTACAGTGAATCTCTTACATTTCAGTGACATAATTAGCAAGAGGCTGTCATTGAAGTCTGTGTAGTTACATTGTGTGAAATAAGATCAAGGTCTGTTCCAATGTGAAATGTGTGTGAAGAAAGATCAAGATCCATCCAATTTTTCAGCCATCACAAAAACAGACAAGCAAATAAAACCCCCACTGCTTAACTGATCTCTTTCTCTTTCTAATTTCTGAAAAAGAAACATTGGTTTAAAAATTAAAAGGGAATCCCTCAGTGGAAGACATACTTTATTGTATTTGAAGAAAGCTGTTTGGAAAGTTATGAATTATTTATAGCAAAACAACCATTTCACTCAGCTACTCCCCTGGGTTCAGCATTCTCATATCAAACAAAGGGAACAGCGGCAGCCAGAGCATTTCTTCGTCCAGGGGCTGCTCAAAGTTACACTGCAGGATCTGGAAGTCAATCAGCACAAGGGATGCAGGAGTCCCCAGTTTTGTGAGCTTGCATGTCATTGATAAAAACTACATTTTAGATGCCACAGCTGCAGCCCTGGGATGAGATCCATAAATTTGAATACAGAGAGTTTCTGCATATTTGCTTAAAGGACATTTGTGGTGGGAGATAAGCTTTTCATTCAACAGCAATGTGCATTAAACTTGTCTGTGGGTGATACAAAGGAGAGTTTGTTAAGCAGTCTCTTTCTGTATTCACTGTGGTGCTGGAGTTAAGAAAAGCTACCTGCAGGGCAGAGTATCCAGTGATTCATCAGCTTGGGAAAACTTGGGAAAAGGCAGAGCTGGGAGGAAAGAAGGCTGGCTGCCTTTTACAAGTCACTATGGAGTGCAAATGACTCTAGAAAAACAGGCCCTGAAGTTTTGAGGGGGTAATCTATGGGTCCAGGTTATTCAATTCTTAAAGAAATGAGAGTTGTATTAAAGGTGGATGGCACACATAGAAATAAAGTAACAGTTATTTGCTTTCCTCTTGCCTTTATTAGACTAAATTAGGATAACTCCAACGGTATCAACTGAATTCCACTGATGTAGGCCATGGGAAAATCAGGCAATATCTTGTGCTTAAGATCTCAAATTAATGGTGGTATTAGCATTTTCTTGCATAAATCATGTTTTTAGTTACAATTGCCTCCATGAGCTAGTTAGGAGAGCTCAGTGGATTTAAGTGTGACACTGTCACTGGGGGAATGTAGTGTAAGGATTGGTTCTTTTCCTAGTTTTAACAGCAAGTCGTACCTTAAGGAAGCTGGTTGTGATGAAGGATGCTCGGCAGAGGGGTGGAAGCAAGGAGCTTATTTGGGGTCTGTGACAGCTCTGGCTCAGGGCTCAGTATGAATTTGAACACCTTTGGAGCTCCTGTGACTTAGACTTACAGAATCATAGAATCACAGAATGATTTGGTTTGGAAGGGACCTTTAAAGATCATCTAGTCCAACCCCCTTGCTTTGGACAGGAACATCTTTCACTGGATGAGGTTGTTCAAAGCCCCATCCAACCTGGCCTTCAACACTTCCAGGGATGGGACATCCACTACTTCTCTGGGCAACCTGTTCCAGTGTCTCACCATCCTCATCATGAAGAATTTCTTCTCTATATCCAATCTAAACCTACCCTCTTTCTGTTTAAAACCATTAGCCCTTGACCTATTACTTCAGGCCATAGTAAAAAGTCTCTCTCCATCTTTCTTATAGGCCCCCTTTAAGTACTGAAAGGCTGCAGTAAGGTCTCCCTGGAGCCTTCTTTTCTCCAGGCTGAACAACCCCAACTCTCTCAGCTTTTCTTCATAGGAAAGGTGTTCCAGCCCTCTGATCATTTTTGTGGCCCTCCTCTGGACTTGCTCTAAGAGATCCAAGGACTTGTTGTGGCAGTTAAATGTGACCTCCCAATGGGTTCATCCATTTTCTGAGAGTTTATGGGAGTAGAACTGTCCCTTCCTCTGCTCCTTTTCTGACTCCCATCTCCACCAAGATGCTTCTTTGGAAATAAGGCAAATTCTTTAAAGGTCACCTGCAGTCTACTCCAGAAGAAAATGGGGTTAGACCAAGGAAAGAAAGTCTGTCCCTTCAGATTTCCTTACAGGATCCCCAAGCATTTAGTGTCGAAAATAATGCTACTTATTATCATTAAAGTTTCCTACTGTTCTTACCTTTCTGCTTTAAATGCATTAGCACCCTTGATGCCCAGGATGATCCCAAGGTGAGGGAGATATGGTCCTCTCCTGTCAGATGTTGTTGCCAAAAAGCAACTTACAAATACTCAGTCTAACAAAAGATAAATTTTTAAATGCATTTCAGAGTTTTCTCATAGTGAGCTGAGCTATAGCCATGGGTTACAGCTTACAGGAGAGCCTCTATAGGTTATCCCAATTATCAGCCAGAATAGACTTTGCACTAAAATACTTTCTTGACATAATGTTATATGTTGCAAAATAATCCAAAAATCCAAAATATGTATGAACAATGTTGTTGCTCTCTGAATCATAACACAAATCTTGGGGTTAGTAGTAATCCACTCTAGCACCATTGACTTCAAGAAGTCTGATTTATATCAGTGGATGATTTGATTCTCCCACTGCTTACCTTGACAATAAATTTAATGCTCCATAGCTACCCAGTTTAATTGTCATTGTGCTTTCTCAAATGGTACTGATTTATTCTGATTCCCAAAGGTATAACAGAAGCACCTTCTCCATTTTCACCCCCTCCCACACATGGCTTTTTCTCCTTCTCTTCCAGTGTTGTGCACAGCTCTGATCCATCTGCCAATTTTTCAGATGTTTACATCTTTGTTCGGCTCTTTTTTTTCCACCCAAATGAAGATGCTGGCCTTTTTTTCCCTATCTTGAATATTGTTGCTGCGTGTTGGCACACTAGACTCTTTGTTATAGTCTCAACAGCTGTTTTTCTGTGTTGTGACTCTTTGTTCCCAAAGGACTATTTGCTTTCCTAATGTCTTTTCACAGCCACTTACAATAAATCATCCCTCCAAAGGAACAAAACCCAGCTTTAAACAAGGAAAAATAATTAACAGAGGTTTGAAACATAACATATTAATACAGAAAAAAAAGGGAAATTTCCACCAAAATTGTGGTGTCACATACCATTTCAGTTTATTCATTTTCATTCCCAATAAGAGAATGACAAAGGACAGAGAGTGGCTTTAGCATGGGTAAAATACTGAAAGTGGGATACAGTCTTCAGACAAACAGCTTATATTTTTGCCTGACCCTCAAAAATAAAATTTAGTTAACAATAAAATGTATAGTAATATTTAATAATTAACTAAAATGAAAATAGTATCTTAAGGAAGTATATATAGCACTTTCCATCCAAAGATCTTAATATACTTTACTGCTCTCTCGTCAATGACAGCTTCTGGATCGGCGTTCAACCCCTATTTGCTCTACATCCCCTGGAAAATTGGCCAAAACCTGCTCTCAGTGATGATGATGCTTATCTGGATCATTTTGTTCCTGCCCGTTTAGCTGTCCCTGCAACACCATTTGCCTCCTTAAGCACTGTCCTTGTGTCCATTTGGCCCTTCCCTGTCCACTCCAGTTCCAGAAAGATTTTAGTTGCCTCTGTCTACCAAGTGTTTTCCATTCAGTCCAAAGCTATATGCCATGTACCGCATTCATTACCACAGCTTTCAAAGGGGGAAGGCACTAGGGTTTGATCCTCACCTCGTATTAATAGGCATCACTGTTATGATTTGTCTCATTATATAATTCCTAACTCCTAGCATTCATATAGATATTAGCTGCTACAATCATGCCAGAAAAGAAGGGAGTGGGCAGGGAGGGAGGGAAAATGGTAATCTAGAATGATTTCATCTCGGAGTGTGGGTGTCATCTCATTAAATTGCTTTTTAAAAAATATTTTGATGTTAACTGTGGAAAACATCTTGGGGCTATGTTCTGCTAAGCCGGGATTGCTCCGTAAGGGAAGGGGAGG